TATAAAGTGTCTCAGAGGTCGTCTTGTCTCCTCTTTACTGAATATACACATATATAAAGTGTCTCAGAGGTCGTCTTGTCTCCTCTTCACTGAATATACACATATATAAAGTGTCTCAGAGGTCGTCTTGTCTCCTCTTTACTGAATATACACATATATAAAGTGTCTCAGAGGTCGTCTTGTCTCCTCTTTAGCATCAGTTGCTAGCCGCATTAGCTTCAATTCGCATGAAGTCCGTGTTAACGAAGAACAAGCTTCTCCTTTAGAGAAGTTAAGAGTCAAGACGGTGTTTTAATTCATGTTGAAAAGCAGCTACGGTTCTTACCTCCACCTCCTTCCGAAAGAAAGAACGAACGGAGCCGGAGCTTGAGGTGTGTGCCGCCGCACTACAAGCCTCTTCCTCGGCTGCTCTGGAGAGACGTGTAAGTCGGAGCGCGTGCCCTCAGCAGGCTGAAACAGCGCCATGCGCATCGGTCTCGAGCAGGGCCGAGCTCGAATGTGGCAGTGGCACGATTACTGGCAGTTCCGGTGTCACGTGCCACGCTGCATCCGGCTTCAGTGGCAGCTGCCACGCTGCCGTGACCATAGATATATAATCACTAGATCCCTCTTTGGCTGCTGCGGTGCAGTATTTTCGGCCGCCATCTTGGAGCGGTCGTCCTTATTTGGTTAAAGCAGATGTCTCAGCACTTCGCAGCTTATTTCTGTTCAGATCGACGAACTGTTGACGTCAGGTCTGGGGGGATAACTTCTCACAGTAAGATGAACATATTATTTAGTATTTTGTGAATATAATATTACTGTACTGTATTTATGTCCACCAGCTGATGTGATGTTCAGTGTAACACGGTGTTCAGCTGCAATGAAGCTGACTGAGATCTGATGACAGGAATATTTTGCTAACAATCATACTCACTGTTTCAGCAGCTTTGGTTCATTATCAACAGATATGAATCAGAACTGGAGTTTTGTTTAAGTTGTTTTTGTATGTATGTTAGTTAAGTATGTTTTGTGTAGACACAAATGTCCTGTTTTCATTTTTGAAGGTTTCCCAAAGAACAAGATGTGAGGAAGAGGAGGAAGTATCTTTGAGGAGGATTCATCTGAGCAGTGAGGATTTTAAACTGGAGGATTTTGATCAAACTGGTCAGACTGTCCGACTGAGAGATGGTGTGGTACCATGGGTTCACCTTCAGAGAGTAGGAGCATCATTATAAGTTCATTAGAGTTCATAAAGTTACATATTTTATTGTGAGTCACAAGGTGAGACAGCTCCATGTGTTTCTATGAACAGGTAACTAGAGACTGTAAAGTTCATCTTCATGATGCTTTTTCATTTCAGCTTGAAAACTGCAGGACTACAGGAAGTGAACAAAAGCTGCAGCTGCTCTGTCTGTGGACGCTCAGGAACGTGCACGTCACACACACACAACCTCAGGAACGTGCACGTCACACACACTCTCAGGAACGTGCACGTCACACACACAACCTCAGGAACGTGCACGTCACACACACAACCTCAGGAACGTGCACGTCACACACACAACCTCAGGAACGTGCACGTCACACACACACAACCCCAGGAACGTGCACGTCACACACACACTCTCAGGAACGTGCACGTCACACCCACACTCTCAGGAGCATGCACGTCACACACACACTCTCAGGAACGTGCACGTCACACACACACTCTCAGGAACGTGCACGTCACACACACACTCTCAGGAGCATGCACGTCACACCCACACTCTCAGGAACGTGCACGTCACACCCACACTCTCAGGAACGTGCACGTCACACACACAACCTGGGCCTCATGATGTATTTCTATTTCAAACTTTATTTTTCATTGATCTTTATTTATCCAGGTCGACTCATTGAGTCACGAGAACTCATTTTCTAGAGAGATCTGTTTAGGAGCAGGTGGTGGGGGTTGAGTGCCTTGCTCAGGGGACCAGGGTGGGGCCAATGAGGGTGGAGGCAGGTGTGGGTGTTTCACCTTTTCCACCTCATTTTGATGTTGACGGTACCGGGAGTTGAACCTGCGACTTTCCCATCACAGGCCCATCTTGTAACCTCTGCTCCACCACTCCCCCACATGACATCATATCATACTGGTCGTATTAAATCTCACTGGTTTCCTTCCAGATGTGTTAAACTGGTCCCCTGATGTTTGCAGGTGTGTGTGGTCAGTGGATGAAAAGCCTGGCATGAACAAGATGATGCTGGAGATGATGATTTGACGAGAGCTCCCACCTTCTACCTGTGAAGAACAAGAGCAGCTCAGTGAAGGTGCTGAGAGCTGCAGAGAGGCTGATCCATGGAGCTTCAACACAGCAACCTCCAAACATGTCCACCCTCACACACATCGTCTGTGGACACACTGGACCACAGCACAACATCATAACACACTGACAACAACAACAACAACAACAACAACAACAACAACAACAACACATTCATTAATGATTCAGACAAGTTTTTATTGTTTGTTTGTTTTACAATTAAAAACAGTTTGTTATCCACTGTTGTCATCACTCTTTGTTAAAATCCAGGTCTCTCTTGTAAAAGAGTCCTTGTGGCTCAATGGGACTAAACTGTATCAATAAAGGTTGAATGAATATAAATATACACATAATGATTTATTCAACCTTTTATTTATACAGGTTGGCTTCGTGGAGCCACAAGGACTCTTTTACAAGAGACCTGCTCCAGACACAACATATAAAGTACAGACAAGAATAACAGGAAACAATGGCAACGATTTAACTACAGTAAAAATGATAGAGATGATATGTATATATATATATATAT